CTTCTTAAGTGACTTCCTGCTGAGGACAACAGTGCTCAGAAAGGGGAAGCTGCCTGCTATGGTTATGCAAGAAGAAGTATGACTAGAATTCAAGTCTAGGTTCCAGCCCCAAACAAGGAGGAAGTAAAAGAAAACCTTGTAAAGTTATTTTAAAAAAGCATGACTCATAAAAGAGTGGTTATTAAATAAGTTTTACTAAAATGCCAACAGGCAAAACCAAATACTATCAAAAATTGTGAAAAAAATAGTTTTTTTAATTACAAGAAAAAATTTATTTCACAGAAAACAGTACACATTATAACACGAAGCTATCTTACTTATTTGTTTTCACTTGAGTATTTTCTTATAGTCTGTCTTACTCAAACAGAAGGTTAATTCCTTCAGATCCTGTATCCTCCTGTATACCCCAGTGTCCAGAACAGCACCTAGCATACAACAGAACCTCACTGAAAATTTGTTGAGTGAATCAATTAATGTGTAATTTAGATTTGGCTGAAGTCAAAACATCCTAGAATTCACCGCATGTCTCTTTGAGCAGTTTTACAGAGCTTTCTACAAAGACTTATGGAAACAAGACTATAAAAAAATGGTTCCTAAATGTAACACAACCATGTGGGCCTGCTGAGGTTGTCACAGGTGTGCTGAGTGGGCTGAGCTCTATCTCCAGGTTCCAAGAAGCAAGTTCATGAGAACAAGCATGTGCACAGCAAATGAAATATGAACTCAGCAGTGCTTCTCATTCATTATCAAGTCAGCAAGTATTTACTGAACATCTAACTCAATTCCAATGTTAGAGAAACAAAAGCAACGAATATCCTCCTATAAAGGACCTTACATTCTAGTAAAAGAAAACATACACAATTCAAAACAAGGGACACCAAGTGGTGAAAACGGCTATTTAAAAATTGAGTAATTGCATCCCACTCCTGACACGCCACTCTTTGTGCTCGCTTCGGCAGCACATATACTAAAATTGGAACGATACAGAGAAGATCAGCAAGAAGAAAAAAAAATTGAGTAAGAGCACTAGAGAGTAAAATGGATCCAGTGAAAATATTTCTAGTGAAAATATTTCTTTCTCGGAAGACATGAACAAACCAAAGTGATCTGGATAAGACCTCTGAGTAATCAGTTGGCATTCTGGAAACAGTAAGGGTATTGGGAGAGGGTAAGTGATGCTACAAGTCTACTCAACCCTTTAACAGATGGAAAAATACCTGCACCCTGAAAGAAATAAAAGGACACTGAGTTACCTTACTACCTCTACCTACATCTACATATGAACTCTGTTAAGTAGGACAGGAAGTATTGGCTCCAAAGAGGAGAATGGCGTACAGGTAAAAATAAAGACATAAAAGGAATGAAAATCTCTGTTATAGGTGGAACTGTGCCCAAAAAATATGTATCAAAAATCTTAATCTGTATGCCTGAAATTTGAGAATGGTGTGCCATTGTTAAGTTTATGGCACTGGATTAATTGTAGGGTATATTTTTAGTACATCTTTTACAAAATATCAAAGCAGCAGATTAAGCAAACAAAGATAGATGCTAAAGCCACAAGATCTCCAAGGAAGTGAGAATCAGAAACAAGGAGACAAGGACCCTCCCCCTAGTGAAAACTGAGATTAAAAAAATGTTCCCCAAGAACTAGCACCTAAGTTCAGATGTCTACCTTCCTAAACTGTGATAAGGATGCTCTGGTGACCTAGTAGTGAAGCGCTGTGCTATCAACCTAGAGGCAGCTGGTTCAAATCCACTAGCTGCTTTGCAGGAGAAAGATGGACCCCTTCTCCCCATGTGATTTCCAGCCTCCAAAAATCCACTGCAGGGTCAGTGAGGAATCAGTTCCAGCTCAACAGCAAATAACAACAAACTGGGAGAAAAATCTGCTGTGCTATTTCTGTAAAAGCAGTACTTAATAATAATCAGCCCATCTTTATAGACTTCATAATTTTATTCAACATAAACTGACCTTTATTTTCCTTCAACTGGTATGCATTAGAGACCCCATCGTTTCCCCAACAGCAGAGAGCCAAGGGGATCCTGAGTCTGTAGTTATTCCTTCATTAATTGTAGGTGCCAGAAATGAATGGACACTGATGAAATTCCAGGAACAGAGAAAGTCAACTTCAGTCAGAGGTTTGTCAGTCCAGCCTCTCACAGCTGGTCTGGCAAGGATCTCCAGGTGCCCCAGGAATGCAAGAGCCTCCTCCTTGCTCCCATGGGCTCAGTCAGTGATTTGCATACACTGTGGAAGGAAACTCCTCCCCTCATAAACCACAAACCTGAGTTCAAGTAAGAGGAAGAACAAGAATTGACAGCTTTAGCATTTTCACTTAAAAGAATAAGGATTAACCTGACTACTGTTAAGTGAATAAGCTGAACTAAGCATTAAACAGAATTAGTTTCTTGAGAGTACCCAGTAATTGCTGGTTTGTAAAGATCACATCCGTTGTAGATAATGTAAGTTGAATTGCCTTAGAGTAGTAGTAATAAGAGATCTTTGTATAATACAAACTGGATTACTGGACCAAAATACTATATTGGATTTTTCATGACACTAATTAGAAAACTTGGAAGCAGGAGTGGCATCCACTTCCTAAACAACATGCCTCTAGAAACTCTATGAACTTTGATAAACGATGGTAATTACAGAAAGGCTTCAGGCCTTTTGTTCATTGGGTTGCTATGAGTCATGCTCGACTTGACAGCAATCAACAACAGAAAACTGACTAGTGTCTACAAATAGTCACTGATAGACTAAATCGGTAAATATTCACTATAGAGGTAGTTTTTATATTATGACAGCGTTCTATTCTGACAGGTCAGTTGTAAATTTGTTCTGACATAAGTTGAATACCTCATTTTTTAAATGTTTTCATTATCATTGTCTTTATTACCAGTATCATTTTCTATTCAATTCTTTGGGGTTGGCATAAGAATGAAAACAGCTAATTAAGCACTGCACTACTGCATTAACACATAGTACTAAGGACAAAAATGTACCATTAAACAATAATGAAAACAAACAAAAAAGCATGCTCAAAAGTACAATTCATGGTAAGGAGTATCTGTTCTAAATTTAGGTAATTTCTACTTATTATTTATAAAGACCTATGACAGACGAATAGGGAGCTCTGGTGGCCTAGTGATAAGAAACTTTGCTGCAATCCTGAAAGCACATTATTTGAATTCACTAACCTCTTCCCCTCTGATTAACTGCCTCTGAAAACCAAATAGTCGGTCAGCTATGGTTCCACCTTGACAGTACACAGCAAGAGCAGATGAATAGATTTTTACCTAAACTTCACAGAGTTGCTGTAAGTGTGGTCAACAGCACATAACAACAAAGCAGATGAGGCACTGGGAGCTAAAAGGTGACATTCCTCCCTCCTATTTAGGAGCACTGAGTTTAAGTCTCAGCCAATAGGTCTCATGCCCGGCTAGCATTTATCTGTCAGGGGAAGCCTGTGTGCTGCTATGATGCTCAACAAATTTCAATGGATCTTCTAGACTAAAGCAAACTAGGAAGAAAGGCCTGATTCATCTATGTATAAAAATCAGCCCATAAAAGCCCTAGTGATCACAGTAAAACACTGTCTAATCCAAAACTGATCATGAGGATGACGCAGGACTGGGTAGCATTTTGTTCAGTTGTGTCTGGGGTCATCCTAACTTAACACTGATGTTGGTAGTTAACAACAATAGGTTTTGTTGTTAGGCAATAAAAAATAAACTTACAGTGGGCTCTGCCTTTTTAGACAATTAAAACAATAAGACTCATCAACAACCTGTGATATACAGATGAAATTGAGGAGGACCTAAAGCACTTGCTGCATAAAGGCAAAAACTACAGTCTTCAAAATTGACTGAAGTTCACCATCGAGAAAACAAAGATTCTCACCACTAGGCTAACTGGTAGCACCATGATAGATGGAGAAGACATTGAGGTTGTTGATAATTTCAGATTGCTAGGTTACAAAGTCAACACCCGTAGCATCAGCAGTTATGAAATCCAAAGATGAATGCATTGGGAAAATTTGTTGTCAGAGACTTCTCCAAAGTGGAAAAGAACAATGATGTCAGCCTAAAGACTAAGGTGAGCCTGATCCAGGTCATGATCTTTGCAATTACTTGCTATGCATCAGAGAGCTGGACAATGACCAAGGATGACAGAAGAAGAATAAATGCCTTTGATTTGTGGTGCTGGAGAGGAATATTGAATATACCATGGACCAGCAAGAGAATAAACAGGTCTTTCTTGGAAAGGGTGAAACTAAGTTTTTCCTCAGAGGCAAGGATTTTGAAGTTCTGTCTCACATACTTTGGGTATGTGGCCAGGACAGACCAGTTTTTTCAGAAGGACATCATGCTTGGAAGGGTGGAGGGACAACACAGGGGAGGAAGACCCCAGATGAGATGGATTGACTCAGTGACTAGGGGAAGGGGGGTAGATGTGTCAGAGTCAGTGAAAATAGGTCTGGATAGGGCAAGCTTTAGAGCTGTTGTATGTGCTCGCAGGTGACTCAATGGCACATAACAACAATAACAAAGCAATAAAAGATAAAATATTTTAAAACTGGCATGGAAAATAGCAAATACCCTAAGAATTATACCATGAAAACTGTAAGACAGTGGTTCTTAATCTAGGATTAATAACTTCAGAAGTCCATTAATCTCTACAAGTGCATGCAAAGTCATGTGAAAGTGCACAGGTCTAAGTGTACACATGTGGACTTTGTGTGGCAATGGGTCCATCAGTTCCATAAGCTTCTCTAGAGTAATATGTAAATACACAAACTATGTACATCTCTATGTTAGTTAGAACAGGAACATTTACTCTATTTAGCAAAGCAGAGAAGATTTTTCTGGAGGAGTCTTTATTTAAAAGATAGGTAAAATGTGGATATGAGAAATGCGCCAACAGCCTAGGCTAGGGTAAAAGAGAATCAAGAAATGTAAATATTCAATGTTTCCCACATTTCATGTTATATACTTACAGTAAACCTCTTCTTTTTCTCTCTGTGTTCATCAGAGCTGGGAATGCTAACACTTGGGCAGCTTTCTTTGCAGTCCATGGTAAAATCTCTTTGGGTTTAATGTCTCAGAAGAATACCAAAAACTGAATCTGAAGAAACAGTCAGCAGAGGGCAAACATCATTAACTAATCCAAAACATAAAACCTTTTGAGGTAATGTTCAAATTCCATCATGCAACCTTAACCAAGAGGAAGAGAGAAGAAAAAAAAAAAGAGAGGTTGATTAGCAAAGTAACTTTAAGAAACCATGATTTGTCATTCCTTATTCTTATATTACTTTAGGCAGTAATTTACTTTTGCTCCTAAGTCTCACCCCAAGTTAAAGGTTTTGTTTCTCTTATATTCCTATCACAACACTGGCCTAGTGAGTAGGAAGCAGCACTGCCAATCCAAAGGCAGCCTCTTCGAATGCACCAGTTGCTCCCAGAAAGAAAGATGAGCAATCTTGTCCCATATGTGACCTTCAGCCTCTGAAAACCTGAAGGATGGTCAGCTATGAGCTGGCATTGACTCAATCATAGTCAAATATCTACATCGCATCTCCCCTCCTTGCAGTCAGGAAATTCTTGTAGCTTATTCACCACAGTTGATGTAGATGAAGCACTAACTTCACTGAAAGAATGCTAGCTTGATGACACAGAACAAGGGAAGGTTCAGATCTGCTGTTCACAAGGTCACTATGAACTGCATGGCACTATGAACTTGATGGCACCTAACAAGAACAAGCGTGATGGGTTCAGACCACAGCTCCTCAAAGTTTAGTCTTCAGACTTCAGACATCAGGATGACTAGGTACAGCTTGCTGAAAAATTCAGGCAAAGTGACTCCACACAAGACCCATGAATTTAAAACTATTTTATTTTATTTAATATAACATTACTTACTGTTTTCCACAAGGAGCTCTGATGTCCAAGTGGTAAGAAACTATGTTGCAATCCCAAAGACACACGGTTCAAATCCACCAACTGCTCCACCAAAGATGAATGGATTTACTGTGTGATTTACTGTCTCTGAAAACCTGCCAGAGGATCTACTATCGATTGGTTCTGACCACAATGCTAGGAAATTAACAAACAGTAACTCATTTAATATCCAGAATGGAACTATATGGTAACATGACTTGTATAAATGAGAAACTTGAGAAAATGAAGTAATTTTCCTAGACAGGATTTGAATGCAGGCTATGTGGCTCTAGGAGACTTGGTGACACAATGGACTGTTAGGCTACAAAAAGTTCAGCAGTTCAAACTTCACTAGCTGCTCCAAGGCAGAAATACGTCTGTTGCTGCAAAGATTTATATATAGCCTTGGAAACTCAACCTTCAGGGTCACTATGCGTCAGAATCAACTTGACAAACCACAGCTTTAGCTTTGGTTATGTGGTTCTAGATACCAAGTCTTCATCATTGTGTGATGACGCATCATTTTCAACAACTTTATACAATAATTTTTAGTGAGACACATTACAGTAGATCCTCAAATAAAACAGATGAGATTATGTTCAGATAATTCCACCCCAAAATAAAAGGCTTCAGGTATCACTGCCATGTCATCTCTTCTAAACAAGATAGTTTATATTTTCCAGTGACACCAAATAACCTTTTCAAAATTTTTTATTTTATATTGATTTGCTTATAAAGTTCATACACATTGTGTTTCACACTATTCTTCACTCACCTTGCATTTCACTGAATCATTTTACTGTATTATGTTTATAAAATTAATCACCAATGGACCTTGCTCATCACAGTCCTGTTTTTTCAGGTCCCCATCGGATCCTTCCCATTTCTTTCACCTCCTCCCTCCACTCACTAAACTGTGCAACTCTCTGGTTTCACGCCTATCCATCCTCACCCCTCCACTTTCACCCCTTCCCCCCTTGGGTCTACATACATGTTTTACTAGTCATCCTTCTATTTTTACAAAAATGGTCTTATGTAGTAGTTGTCCTTATGAGACTGAGTTCACTCAGCATAATACTCTTAAGCCTCTGACAAGTTATGTATTATTTTTCAAAATCATAGCTCCTCAGTAGTATATAGTATTCCATTGTATGAATGTACCACAATTTCTCAATCTATTCAGTTCTGTTTCTACGTTCTTGTAATGGTAAATAACACTCCTATGAACACTGGTATACAAGTCTCTGTTTGTGTCTTAGTTCTAATTTCCATGGGGTATATTCCTAGTAGTAGAAAAGCTGTATCATACAGAGCTTCTGGGATATTGTGGCTAATGCAAGACGATCCTGGCTGAAAGCAGGGAGTACCAGAGGAATGTCTATCTGTGTTTTATTGACTATGCAAAGGCATTTGACTGTGTGGATCACAACAAACAGCGGTTGACTTTGAGAACAGTGGGAATCCCAGAAGGAATCACAGAACACTTGACTGTGCTTATGTGAAACCTATACCTGGATCAGGACGCAGCCATCAGAACAGAGCAAGGAAACATTGCATGGTTCAAAATTGTGAAGGGTATATGCCAGGGATGTGTCCTATTTCCATATTTTTTTCAATCTATATGCAGAACAGATTATCCGGGAGGCTGGGCTCTATGAGGAGAAATGTGACATGAGGATTTGAGAAAGATTCATCAACAATCTGCGTTATGCAGATGACACAACCCTGCTTGCTCAAACTTAGCAGGACCTGAAGTTCTTGCTGCAGAAAGTCAAGAACTATAGCCTTCAATATGGACTGAAGCTCAATATCAAGAAAACAAAGATTCTCACCACTGGGCTGATTGGCAGCATCGTAATAGATGGTGAAGAGATGAAGATTGTTAATAGCCTTTGTTTTCTTGGCTCCATAATCAACACTAGTACCAGCAGCTAGGAAATTAAAAGATGAATTGTACTGGGAAAAGTCTGCTGTCAGAGACCTCTCCAAAGTACTGAAAAGCAGTGATGTCAGTCTGAAGACTAAGGTATGCCTTATTCAGGCCATAGTCTTTGCAATTACTTGCTGTGCATCAGAAAACTGGACAATGATTAGTGATGATAGGAGAATTGATGCCTTTGAGCTGTGGTACTAGAACAAACAGGTTCATCTTAGAGAGTATGAGACCAGGCAAAGATTCTAAGGCTTCATCTGACATACTTTGGGCATGCTGCAAGGAGGGACTAGTCCTTGGAGAGGGGCATCATGCTTGAGAAGGTGGAAGGGAAGCACAAGAGAGGAAGACTCTGGAGATGGATTGATTCAATGACTTGGGTAATGGGAATAGGTGTGTTAGAGACAAGATTGGCACAGGATAGAGTAGGGGTTAGGGCTCTCGTACAGAGGGTCGCTATGAGTTGCAGGTGACTCAATGGCACGTAACAATAACAGAGCTTCTATATTTAACTTTTAGAAGAAAAATCAAACTGTCTTGCATAGTGGTTGCACCATTTTACAACCCCACAAGCAGGGAATGAGAGTTCCCACCTCTCCATTTTTTTTAATGTTGTTTACCATCGAATCAGACCAGATTGGCACAAGAGGGAATTGCCCCTCCTTCTCCAGCAGAGCATCTGGTGGATTCGAACCACACTCCTTTAGGACTGCAGAGCAGATTCTTGCCACTAGGCCACCAGAGCTCCCCTTCTCTAATATTTATTGCTTGCTGCCTGGCTAAACTTTGCTACTGCTACTGGAATGAGATGGTATCTCCCAAATAATACCCTTTAAAAAAAGAGCACTTTGCCTGTTTCCATGAATGATTAGCCTCAGGAAGGCACCTGTATAACAGAGCTCTTTTTAAACAGCCACATGCCAAGAAGTTGACCTCTATGGACTTCCCACCTAGGTTCCCTTCTCTTACCCTTGCCCTTTGTCTCGCAGTTGGGAATCAGTCAATGCGAATGAGATACAAGGGAGTCCCTGGGTGGTCTAAATGGTTAATATACTCAGCTACTAACCAAAGGCTGAAGGCTCTAGTCTACCAGCGGCACACTAGAAGAACAGCCTCATAATGTATTAAAAACCAGCCACTGTGTAGCAGAGTTCCACTCTGACATAATATCAGGGTTGCCATAAATCATAAGTGGAGGATGACCAAGAGGCTGATAAAAAAAGATGATAACAGAGAGTGTGCCTTCAGCTGGAAGTGTCCTTGAGAATGTCCACAAGGAAAGGCATACTAACAGCCTTAAGTTCCCAAAGAGATGGGGATAAAAATCAACATTTCACAGGTAACATGCTATTTGCTGTCATGTGGACTCTGACTCATAGTGACCCTCTTAACAACAATAACACTGAACCATCTTCACAGTCTCTGCTGTGCTTAGTCCACTGGTGGTTTCTGTCACTGTGTCAATCAATCCACCTCACTGAGGGTCTTCCTTTCCTTCACTACTTTTCCATGCCTGAGGTCCTTTTCTGAGGACTGGTCCCCCTGATAATGTGCCCAAAGAGATGAAGTCTCACTGACACTTGGCGTTCAGTTTACCAAAGGGGGTGCCTGGAGTGTTACTGAGATGCTGGAGGCTTTGTCAGCAGTATTTCAAATACCAGCAGGATCAACCAAGGTATACATATTTTAGGGGAGTTCTCAGACTAAGACAGACTTAGAGCAGTACAGGTCCTCCACTTCTAATAATGGAGCCTTGAAAACAACATGAACAGCACTGGAACACTGTCCATCATAATGGAAGATGAGCCCCTCTGATCTGGGGCACTCAAACTGTGACTTGGGAAACAGCTGCCTTCTTATAGTTGTTATGGTTGTTGTGTACCATCGAGTTGGAATCTACTCAGAGCTGACCCTCAGATTTTCAGACACAGTAAATTGCATGGGAGGAGACTGTCCTTCTTGTGGAACAGATGTTGGATTGAAACCACATGCCTTCTGGACTACAGCACAATTAATGTCAGGATGGAGTAAAGCTCCCACCCAATTAAGGACTATTTTTGAGGATATGGTACAACTAAAAATGAGGAGAAACAACTACAGTATCCTTCAAAAACTGGAATGTACCAAGTATTGAATCTAGGAAAAGAGGAAAAAGAGGAAACTGTCAAAATGTAATGCATGTATAACATACCTAAGGACAAATGATAAGAGTTGTAAAGTGAATTATACAAGTAAAGCTTTAATGTCTTAATGCTTGCATAAGACATTTTGTTAAGGAAAAAAGAGTAATAAGGCAGGCATCTGAAGAGACACAAATGAGGCTAAGGAGGGAAAATTCCAAATT